CACTCCAGTCTGGGTGACAGAGTGAGACTCCAACTCAAAAAAAAAAAACAAAAACAAATGGGTGTCCCTCTCTGTGCCTGCCTTCCCCATCTGCAAAGGGGAGACTTCCACAAAGGGTGACGGGTTAAGATGGCACTTGGCACTTAACAAAGGGCTCAGTCAACATCAGCCTTTCCTGCAGCCCGAGGGCAGGCCACATGCCCGGTCTCACTGGCTTCGCCTGGGTCCCAGCTGGTTCATGGGGAGCCAAGTCTGCTGCTAGTGGGACCTCCGAGTTTGGTTCCGGTCACCGACTTGTCCAGTCATCCCATGGATGCTCTCTGCACACTTCCCTACAGTAGACATGCTCTTCTTCAGGGACATGGCAGGTCTGGTCTGGGGAAACAGCTGCGGCACGCTGGCCAAGCTCTCTGTCTCGTGGGACTTATGCTCCAGTGGGCAGAGATGGACAATATGCCATACATGTGTGGACTCTCAGGGAGCAGAGGCGAGGAGAACAAGGCAAGGTGGAGGAGAAGGGGTGAGGCTGCGTCACAGAGGGCGGCCTGGGCACGCGGCTCTGTGGGGTGGGGAGTTCAGAGGGAAGCAGCGTTTGTCTCTCTTTTTCCCTCTGTCTTTCTCTTTCCTTCCTTCCTCCCTTCTCCTCTTCCTTTCCTTCCCTTCCTCCTCCTCTGCCGTTCATTTTCTCCCTCTGTCCCTCCCTCTCTGTTCAGTGGGACTCTGGGGCAGATCCTTTCTTTCCCCCAGGACTCAGTTTCCCCATTTCACATTCCACCGCGGAATGTCAGGGACACAGCTTCCGGGTGTGAGGCCCAGACTCCCGGGTCCTGGCGCAGTCCTGGGACACGTGTTTGCATATTTCTAAGATCTTATGTAAACAGCGAGCCATGCTATCAGCCCACCCCGGGATGTTTCAATTGCTTCTCTCAACATTTCCTAGCACACAGGACCCGGGATTAGAATTCGAGGAGAGGGTTTGATCAGTGAGCAACCCTGCCTGCGAAGGACATTCCCTCCTCATGGGATGGGCTGACTCTCGGTCCAGCTTAGTGAGAAGAGGCTGGGACCATGTCGGGAGAGGCACTGACTACAGGTGTGGCCACCAGCAGAGGCCACCAGCTTCCAGAAAAGACGAGGGACCTTGCAAAGGGGGCTTCGTTCTAATTCTATCCACAACATTTTACTTCTAGGAAAAAGCCCAGAGCAAATATGACCACAGGTATGTATGACAACATAGCACATCTGTTAAATCTGAGCGGTGTGCTTGATAATATTCAGAGGGTATTCATCTCATCAGGGATTTTTAAACATTTTTGACCAGTATCATGTAAGAAAGTTATTTTATCCATACAGAACACACAGACACACATGTTCACATGTTCACAGACCTGAAGTAATGTCATGAATCGTGTCCCTACTGTAATTGTACTGTAGATAATGCATCTGACAGTTTCCATTCAATTCTAGTCTAATCTAGTCGATTCAAAACACGCTCACCTGCCATCTATCATGTTGATTTCACTACTACTAATGGTTTAGGGGAAAACTGCATCCCGCTCAGCTCTGTCCTTTTCTGACTGGACTATTTCATGGCATAATTGATAGGAGTGACCCCTGGCACGCCTCCTGGTATCTCTAAACCTTGTGCTCAGCACCTCCGTTGTGTATGTCCCTGAAGCATCAAAACAGCCGTGTGGGTTGGACATCACCTTACTGCAGTTTACACACCAGGAGTCTGAGGTGGAGAAACTCTCCATAGCTCGCGTGGGGGCCCAGACAGGAAGCGTGAGCCAAGATCCCACCCCAGGTCCTCCTGTGGGTCAAAAGCAGGCCCTGTCCCCAGGCATACCTTAGCCACGACCTCCATCAGAGCTGCGGGCACTGGGACCTCAGCACGTGGCAGGACAGACAGGATGAAGGTTGGCCCAGAGCAACGAGACGAGCCTTGAGTGTGGAGTCAAAAATTAGGGCACAAGTGCCAACTACCAAATCTGGGGGGCACTGAAAAGACATTTTTCCATCCTCTGAGCCTTAGATCTTTAAAACGGGCATGATAATATTGATCCAGGCCTGTTTTTAGTGCTGCAAGTTGTGGCTATTTGGGGTTTTTTTCCCTTGTTTTTGTTTGCTTGTTTGTTTTTGTGGACATGGGTTAAAAGGAACTAGCAAATCTTGGTGCAAGGAGCAAGTGCCTGGAGTCAGCCACCAAAGCGTGTATCCCATCTCTTGTATTTCGCAGCAGTGTGACTCTGGGCAAGTCAATTAACCTCCCTGGTTCTCAGGTTCCTCACAGGCAAAATGAAGTTAAGTAAAAACTACTCCATGGAGTCATCTTGAGAATTAGAAATAACATTTGGAAGCACCCACCCAGCTCAAAGACTGGCAGACCGCACTTAATAAGAGACGCCCATTTTAATTTACCAATTGTATATCTGACAAAGGCCTAACATCTAGGATCTACAAGGAACTCAAACGTGCCAAAAGGAAAAAACAAAGAGCCCCATTAAAAAGTGGGCAAAAGACATGAATAGACACTTCTCAAAAGAAGATATACAGGCAGCCAACAGACATTTGAAAAAATGTTCAGCCTCACTAATCATCAGAGAAATGCAAATCAAAATCACGTTGAGATACCACCTAACTGGAGTAAGAATGGCCATCATTATTAAAACAATCAACAGATGCTGGCAAGGATGTGGAGAAAAAGGAACACTTCTGCACTGATGGTGGGAATGCAAACTAGTGCAAGCTCTTTGGAAGACAGTGTGGCGATTTCTGAAAGAACTAGAAATTGACCCTCCATATGATCCAGCAATTCCCTTCTTAGGAATATACCCAGAGGAACTCAAATCATTCTATAAAAAAGATACCTGCACACAAATGTTTGTTGCAGCTCTATTCACAATAGCAAAAACATGGAACCAACCATGCTGCTATATAGAAGCTGGACTGAATTTAGAAAAGTGATACATATACACAATGGAATATTATGCAGCCACAAAGAAGGGCAAACATATGGACTTTGCAGCAACTTGGATGGATTAAGAGTCTATCATACTCAGTGATCTATCATAGAAACAAAGAATAGAGCACCATATGTTCTCACTCATAAGCGGACCTTGAACAATGATCATAATACTATAAGAAACGGATTGGCAGTAGCGGGAAACTGCCAGGGGAGGGGGGTGGGATTGGCAGTTGAGGGAAACTGCCAGGGGAGGGAGGGGCACACCTCATCAACAAGGGTACCTATGTAATGAACGTTTGTATACCTAACCTGAATTATACCTCACATCTTAATTAAAAAAATAAAAATAAAACCCTCGCTCTCAGTCTTAAAAAAAAAAAAAAAAAGAACCATTTTAATAAATCATGAGTTTCATTGGTTTTTCAGCTAGAAAAGGGAAGGATGGGCGCCAGGCCCCAAACTACTTCATGAAATGAGGAAAACATATAACAAAGTTACGCGCATCTGTCGTTATGGAAGGAGCTCCCTCTTGCTTCTGTTTCTATCCTTATGTCTTCACATGACTGATAGCGATGTTTGAAAAGCTGTGCAAGAAAAGCTAGTGGCACAGTCGTTCCAGGGACTGTCCCCACGCTGCGGCCCATTTGGTCAGCCCTGCAAGGAGGCTTGGCAACAGGTGAAAGCAGTCAACCGGCAGGCAGAAGTGTTGAAAGTCTGGGGCCACTTCCTGCGTGCAGATGCTTTAAGTGGAAGGGAGGCAGGGGTGCCCCCAGCTCGGATCCTGAGCCAGTCTAAGGCCCAGGGCTGGAGCAGGAGGGCGGAGCTCAGTTCTGGGAGCCTGGGTGCAGGACAGAGTGGCAGTGGCATTACAAACCCGGGTGTCCCCCAGGCTTCTCTGCTACATGGGAGGCGCAATCTGCCTTCAAGCTCTAACAGGAGGCAGCCACAGAGAGGCTCAAGCACCACGGTCTCTGAGGCTTAACACCTGCTGCCTGGGCAACTCCTGTGTAGACTCAGGGGAATGACTTTCCCTCTCTGGGCGCCATTTCTTTATCTGTAACATGAAGGCATCGTGATGAGGCCTCTGGCTGAGATACCAACCCTTCTGGACTGCGGAGGAAGTAGGGCGAGTTAATCAGGTGCAACTTCCCTGTGCAGTACCACTTGCCGGAACTTAGATGAGACCACTGAGTGGCAAGACATGTTGGCTGAGCCATACTCTGGAGCAGTCAGCTGAGGGAACCGCCCAGAGTCAGACGTACCATGCACTGAGCACTCATCACATGTCAGGTGCTGCGCCCCGGGTGAATGTCCTCCTAGGTCCTCCCCATGACCATCCTGGGAGGTCAGGGAACTGGCTCATTAAGTGCTGTCATCCTGCCTCACAACTAAGTGCGTTATAGAGAAGAGAAACACACCCAACTCTGCTTATTCCTTTTCACCCTAACACGTTGCCACCGCTCCCTAAATTTTGA